ATTTTTCTTTTTTGTGAAGCACATTTCTAAGCCTATAAGTTTCTTACTAGATGAGCTAACGGGGTCAATCAATCGTCATTTTGTAGAGCGTTTTTTACTGCATCTTTTCTTCATAGAGACAAATTTATAACCACTTGTTTCACTATAGAAAAATTTATTATTCAAATCGGGTCAAGACTTCTGGCCCACCCTTTATAACTTATTTTTCGTTTGTGATCTGTTTTAATTTGAAGATGCTTCTGTGTGTTTTACTTTTTCTGTCATTGCTAACATTTTGTTATTTGTCCTTTATGTTTTATTATTTTTGGTGGTAATCCAGGTTTTGTCGGCTCTATCATGTATATTCTATCTGGTTTATGAGAAACATATATTCTGCACTTCTGTGTGATGTTTTGTCTGCTTCTTAAGGTATATTTTTATATTTATATCAGCGGGTGGGGACCCCAAGTGTTGCTTTCCTCCATAGAATCAGATTAGTCCTAAAGAATTCTTTTAGAGCTTTCTTTTTGAGCTTTCTGGCTTTATCTGGAACACTTGGGATATATGTCCAAATATACTTAACAATACAAATAGAACAAGGACATTGGCGGCGGAAAAGCTGAATAAGTAATAAATGTTAGGATGAAAACTTCTGCTTACCGTGGTAACCCAGTGCATGATTTCATATATTGCAAAGTTCGTGTGCAGTGATGAATATTCGATCTGCTACAAATGTCGTAAGAGTTAATTCGCATTTAAGAAGAGCGTTCTCCTGAATACATTGTTGGCAATACATTATCTACAATAGCACAATATATGCCACATCTGACACAAATCAAATGTTATTGGTTTTGTTTAAATAAGTGCTGTCTGAAAGTGTAGTATTAAGAGGCACCTAGTGTCATGTATTGTTGATTCAGGTGCCACATGTAATTTTAAATCAAAAAATGTGATTGATCAAGTACGTATTCAGATGATACCGAGCTGTAAACCTGTTAAATTAGCAGATAAATTCAACTATAGATGTCTGTGGAATAGAGATGTACACGGGTACCATTTTCGTACCAGTACCCGACCTTTGGCCCCCTAAGGTCATATAGCTTTGCAACTGGGATATTTGCATTCAGCGTTGAAAACTGAATCTAGCCAGATACTTTCCGAAGCTCTAGCTCTAAAACTGGGTTTTAGCCCGGGTTCTATTTCTTTTAAATTACCAGGTTTTAGTAGGAAACCCACAAAATTTTAGTAAAAAAATACAGGAGTTTAGCTAAAATACATGAACGTTCAAAAAAGGATTACTTGAGAAGGTAATGATAATTTGACATCTTCAGCCGAAAAAGAAAAGTTTTTAGCTGGAAAAAAGGAGAAAAGTTTTAGGCATAAGTCGGGTACGGGTCGGGTACTGATACGAAAATGGTACCCGTGTACATCTCTATTCCACAGACATCTATAGTTGAATTTATCTGCTAATTTAACAGGTTTACAGCTCGGTATCATCTGAATACGTACTTGATCAATCACATTTTTTGATTTAAAATTACATGTGGCACCTGAATCAACAATACATGACACTAGGTGCCTCTTAATACTACACTTTCAGACAGCACTTATTTAAACAAAACCAATAACATTTGATTTGTGTCAGATGTGGCATATATTGTGCTATTGTAGATAATGTATTGCCAACAATGTATTCAGGAGAACGCTCTTCTTAAATGCGAATTAACTCTTACGACATTTGTAGCAGATCGAATATTCATCACTGCACACGAACTTTGCAATATATGAAATCATGCACTGGGTTACCACGGTAAGCAGAAGTTCCTAGTTCTTAATTCACGAAAAAAACAAAGTCCTACATGAAATGAAATGACACAAGTACTATAGATTTATCAACAAAACAGGAACATCAAAATTAACTATTCTCACGAATAAGTGAAAATTTAATCTGATGAGTTGTGATTTTTTTATAAGAGCAAATTAAATTTTTTTTTAATGAATGACTCGAGTCAAACAGTCGAGTTAACGTCACCCAATCTTCGAGTCCGAGTCGAGTCCGAGTCATTAAAAAAAGGTGACTCGAGTCGACTCGAGTCCGAGTCATGACTCGGACTCGCCCATCTCTGACCCGAACTGAATAGCCGTGTTTCTTTTCGTCCTTGCTTTTTCTTACGGACATCCGACAGAGTAGTCGGTGCCGAGCTCCCATTTTTCTGAAAAGTCCGGATGTTCGGAATGAAAAACGATCGGATGTGAGGAACGATAACCAAAAATATCCGGATGCTGGGAATGAAAGTCGTCTGGGTGTACGGAATGACATGAGCCAAGGTCTTTAGTGTTTTTGTATGCAAAACTTTCTGGATGTTCGTAACAATCCCTCACGTTTTGTTACGAACATCTGATCTTTTTCTGTTACGAACACCCCTCACTTCTTTTTACGAACATCCATACTTTTCATTCCGAACGAACATCCGTACTTTGCATTCCAAACACCCGGACGACTTTCGTTCCGAACATCCGGAAAAACGACTTTATGTTATATAGACCCGATTCCGAGCATTCCGTCACTTGGTTGGATGTCCGGAAGGCCAGGGACGAAAAAGGACAGCCCCAATTGAATAACTATTTCTTCATAAATGAAGTTAGCCATATTTTCTGTAGTAGCCTCGCCAAGAGCTCGAGCTGCGGTTGACTTAGCAGCATGACTCTGTGTAGTGGATAAGCGTCCGATAAAATCAATTCCCCAATGTTCAATTGGTTCGACAGGTGGTAACAAAGGATGTAATTTTTCATGTAATTGATAATTTATTCTGTAATTCTGGCAGTTGGGACATTTACTCACTATATCTTTAACATCATCATAAATCTTGGGCCACCACATTCGATATTTAGAAAGATCATTCAAACCAGCTATGTCTGGATACCCAAACTCTTCATGTAATTTTGATGGGTGAATCTCTTCTGAATGAATGTGAAATATAACGCACTCGTTTTTCACCAATATAATCAGAATAAAACAGCATTATAAATAATAAAATCATCTTTTTCCTTCACAATATTCTGTTTCCCTCTGTCTGTTAACTCATCATTGAGGATTTCGCCTCCTCTCTTAAAAGCCTCTACTAATGATGGTCAGTCGCGTTCATCATTCTCATCTTATGCCGATAGCAGAGATAGTCGTGCAGAAGACCCTCTTCTAAGTCACGAATAGTCTCTTCAAATATACACTTTCTAAATCGATAAGTAAGACTACTAGCCATTTTATTAACTTTTCCTGGCTTATACATAATCGTAAATGTGTATTGTTGAAGCTTCTTTACCCATCTCGTATGACGTCTCGTTAGATGTTTCTGTTTCATTAAATGCTGTCAACTTGCATGATCAATAATAATGATAAATTTGACACCTTCAATATAACATCTCCATGTTTAAAGAGCTTTTATCAATACCTTTCCAGATTCGGATCGAGAAGCTAGAATACAGAGATTTAAGTCTACTCGAGATCCTGATAATGACAATGCTGACGTTCAGATGAATTCCCTCAGTAGTGTTACGGAATTAACCACGATTAAAGGGACTATTAAGAGGAATCTGATGTCATGTATTGTTGACTTAGGTGCCACATGTAATTTTAAATCAAAAAATGTGATTGATCAAGTACATATTCAGATGATACCGGGCTGTAAACCTGTTACATTAGCAGATAAATTCAACTATAGATGTCTGTGAAATTGCTTCTGTTAGTATAGTTCTGAATAATAAATTTAAAAATAAAATCTTTGAGCCTAGCTGTACCAACCGCAGGTCTAAAACTATTGCGGAAAAGAAGTTACTGGCGTTTTACTCTCCCAGCAAAAGTAGTAGAATTTTACCATTTCCCAGCTATTTTGTTCTATCGTGTGAAGCTCACATCCAGTCTCATCCCACTTCAAAATTGCCCCCAAAATTGCCAAAATTGATGGTTTTAAATGGAAGAGCATTGCAAATACTATATATGCAAAGAAAAAACAATTTGGTACACGTAGCGATTTTGAAATAAAGGACCTTGAAGATCCAAGTTTTCCAGAAGACCTTTTAAGATTAAACTATTCTATCTACATGGTTGGATAGAGCGTTCAACAACACTTTGAACAAGATGACATATTGCCGACATTTCTAAGATCTACCGTTCAAAATTGGCATTAAAAATACGAAAAGTGCCCAAAATACACGCCGCTTATCGAAATATTACATTTTTTCCACACTATTTCTTGATTTTCTCAGCGACGGTATGTGATAGGAGGTTTGTTTTGGCTTCATTTGCATGTCGATCTCTTTCCAATTAACGAAGAAAAGGAGAACGAATTCAGTTTTGAAGCTCAGTTTCTATTGGCAGTACGCTGTTACGAAAATAGATCCTTTTTTTCAGGTGGTTGGAGGATTTTTACCGGATAGATTTATAGTCCGAACTGTCCTCTACAAAAGTGAATCTAAGCAACATCTTGAAAATCCATGGTTCAGAAGCTATGCACGTTTTCCATGAAGCCCTAGCATCCCTCTGCCGTTAGGTTTGGACTGTCAGAAATAAATGAAAACATAGGTTATCGCCTATGATGAATCTCGTGACAATGATAGTTCCAGAATAAAATGCAAGAACCGAGTGAAAACCTATACTAGGTGAAATAATCCATTTTTGATTATTTTCATCAACAATTAAAACATTCATAACTCAGTCAAGATCCATCTAACCTACTTCAGAATGTCAGGAAATATTCTATTTTATCTGCATTTTTCAGCTGTATAGCTCAAAAAATTTTGAAAAAAGCAACAGAAAATACCTTGGTTTCTGGAAAGGTTTCACAGAAACCTTCGGAACTAAGAGAATATTTTTTATTGATTTTAAGTACAGAATCAAGATGAGCGCATAAAATAGAGTATATCTTGATATTCTGAAGTAGGGTTGGATGGATGGTTCTTGCATTTTCTTCTGAAAACTATCATTGTCGCGAGATTCAACGTAGTGGATAACCTATGTTTCCATTCATTTCTGACAATCCCAAACCTAACGGCAGAGGGCAGAGGTGCAGAATCTACCCATGAGATTAGGAAATTTTCCCCGACAGTAAAAGATTATAATAAAATTTCCCCGGCATGAAACAAAAGAAACAACAAAATAATGCGATTTTACTGTTGCTAAAACTACTGCTTCTTCAGCCTCTAAGTTGAAAACTACTGTTTCTGTTTAATCACACATGTCTGGTTCTGGTATTCACTGCTTGTTCTTGACGTAAACGTTTTAATATAATTGAATCAGGAGAAACTAATTTCCATACTTGACATTGTTCGCTCTTTTTATAAAACAACAATTATTTATCTCTTAGTTGACTAAAGCAATTATTGAAGTCGTTAAAGGTTAACATAATTCTTCGTTTTTCCAAAACCTTAAAGAATTTCCCGGAAAAAAAAATTTTTTCAGGGAAAACGTCCATAGGGGACGCCACAGGGAAACGTCCATTCTTCAGGGAAAACATCCATAGCTCCCGAATCATGGATTTTCAAGACGTCGCTTAGATCCACTTCAGTAGAGGACAGTTCGGACTATAAACCCATCGAAAAATCAGTATATTTCTATGTCACTTCTGAGAGCTATGACCTGGTTTTCCAAAGATCCTGTGAAAATCCAATCTTTGAAATTTTTCAAAAATTATTTTTTTTTCCTTATGTAAAGATGCGTACAAGTGTTGGCTATCGAATATCGAAAACCGCAGCTCTCTACCTCATTCCTGGCAAAACGTTATTCAGAAACTAACCGACTGCCTTGTATTTTTAAGCGAATAGTAGCTCTATACGACCTTTTCTACAAGCTCGAAGACCTATCTCGAAAGAAAGCCCATCAAGTCATGATGAAGATTGTGTCCTTACAAATATTTTACAGATTAGCACAAAGATAGCATACACTGTTCAAATTTCTATTTTCTTACACAAGTTTTTTCTATCAGAGGGTATAAAAGTTTTTTCCTTGTCCTTACCGATTAGAAAATTACCGTTTGCAAGCGTCATTTTTATTAATATTCTTTATATTATTAAGACTGAACTTATTGAGAAAGGATTACATCTAGGTTACGAACGAAGTCGAAAGAAAAAAAAACACTCTAACTTCGATCTAGAATTATTGAACATCTTAACTGTTTTTACCTTTTAATAAATGATAATACACACATAACATTTTGGTAGCAGCGAGTATTTTACAATCATGACGAACATTGAAAGTCTTCTTGAATAAGTGATCCAGATGAATACAACTTTGTATACTGACAAGATTTGAGGCTTATCAATTTGTACAACCCAGAGGATCCATCGTCGAAAATAGACACCAAAATGGCGTGCGATGGATTCCCCTTGGGTCGAAAATACTTTTTGAGCCAGTAGATATGTAGTACTCTTTCTCTAGTATATACGTACCAAACGTTATTAGTGAACAACGCCAAACCATACAAAAAGTCATTAATGCTGTGGAATAGAGTGATGTGTCGAGGTTAAAATTCATTCTCGATCCATGAAACACGCCTATAGGCTAAAACTTTCAGAATGTACTCAGCTTTAATAAGGCTACACAGTGGCAAAATCATAATTAAGTTTCAAAAAAAATTGAGCACGCTAGGTCGCTGCTTTCGTGCAATGACTCCTAGGCCAATCTGAGATTGACCTGGATCGAAGTTTGGATGCTGGAATATTTATTTTCCCTTGAACTAACATTTGCAGCAAAATTTCCATATTATAAAAGTGTTCAGAAAAGACCTGGTCCATTCTTCATAATTATATTATACTAAAGAGTGTAGAACATCCAAGGGTGAAACAGCAGAATTCCAAGCAGCTGTGCACTTCTGGGCCTACAGAAGCCTGGAGAATGCTATACAAACTTCCTAAAATTCGAGAACCTGGAGGAATCCCTGGGAATACAAGAAGAAATCGGAAAAGAGGATTAAAATCCGATGAAATCTCGAAAATCTGTAAACATGACTAATACTGGGGCTAAGCGGAAAAAACGCGGGAAAATTCAACAACAGTCCGGAAAATTCATCGGACTCAGCGACGTCACGAAGAATACCAAGGAGTCTCCAGGAGTACAATAAAATTTCAAAAAAATTGATTGCCTGTGGAACGGAGCCCAGATTAAAAAAGTCACAAAATCTGCTGTTTCCTCCTTGAGAATATCTCACCTGCCGAATGAAGTGATACTTAGATATGTGCTTTGAACTCACAATCACAATTTAGTCGTCCATTTTTTTATTCCGCATGCTCATATATATACATTGCGCAATTCATAACTCAAACATCAGACTATTAAATCAAATTTAGCTGCATTTCCTTATCAAAAGACAAAAATATACTTTTGAATCTAATCATCCACTATCCTATGTTGAATCGTAGTTATATTATGATCAATATCAATAAATCTTTCACATATATTTGATGGTAAAACTTTTTTCTAGTTGAATTTATCTAATCATAAAGCATGAGTTCTTTCTCACTAATGATAGAATCTCTTTTGAAAATTATAGTTGAATAACAGAATTTCACAAATCTCTTTTTTAATCTTTTGTTTCTGTTGAATATAACGTTGTTTTATACATTCTATTTGAATAGTTTCAAAAATAGTTTATACTGTTCGTATATGATAGTCTCGTTCTCTTGTCGTCTATGATTGGCTTTAATCTCACTTAAATAATCATGGTTGACAACAATTTCTTTTTTTTTCTATTTGACACAATAACTATTCTCTGCTAAAATATTATCTTTAACCACTATCGATTATTCTCAAACATGTCATCGTTCCTATCATTTTCCCATTATGTTCCAATAGATACCTGTATGTATATGTATAGGAATGAATAGAGTTTATAGTTAAAGAGTGTATGCATATATATATATACTAGTTCGAAATAAAATGAAAATGCGTTTTTCTTTTATCTTCTCTTCGTTAATGTATATAATAAATAATTGTTTCTTCTGATATTATATTATTTTCTATTGAAATAAAAAAAAAATAAAAGAAAAACAGACTACCTGTAGTGTGTTCGTTTTCTTCAAAATATCTCACATTGGCTATACCATATATACATATTGTTATTCAAAAGAATGAATCTTAATGTATATATATATATATATACCGTTTTTTGTCTGTATAACTCATTGAAATATCAGTTTTTCTTTCGTCTATTGTTTCGAAACTGAAACATTGTAGAAATTAGCAATAGAGATTTGAAGATCGAAAACAATGGAATTCAACTTACTCATAGTTACTTGGAAGATAGATGGAACTAATCGACAATAAAAGAAAAAAAAGAAAAATATATTACTTGATTAGGTGAGAGAGATAATTTAACGAAACTCGAATATATTTGAATAAATTTTATGTCTTTATATTTAAGAAATAATGCTTTGAAAATTAAACAATGGTTTACACTTTTTTCATGTATATCTTCACAATTTGGAAAACTGATACATCACTTTACATGTAAAACTCATCATCTATTTGATAACTTCAGGAAGGTTAATCTAATTTATTTTCTCATTTGTTATGTAACATACCCGTAATGTCTAGAAATGCCCAAGGAAATAAAAAGTGTCGAGTATTGGGCAATTCTGGATATTAGATTTACCATAAGTCCAAGTAAGAAATCTTGTAAAGTATCTAGATATTTTGTTGTGGTATAGGACAATCCTACTATAAAATATCTAGGTACAGGTGTCACTTTTATTGAGTTATCTAGATATCTTGGGCATGGTATTGCCCAATACCACAATAAAATATCTAGATATTTTCATATACGATTTTTTGCTTGGACGGATAAGACTACCATAAAGGCGACAATTCTATATCTAAAGAGACGTAATTTGAATACGAATTCGTGCCAAAAACTTTCTTTTTCTTTCCAGTCATGTACCATAAATTTAAAAAGATCAATGATTAATAACTGACTTGAAAAATTAGAAAGATTTATCAGAAAACTACTAGAACATAGTCTTAGAATAATATATAAAATGTGCTCATGTAAATTGGATCTTAGGCATAATATTTTTGTCTATTTGTTCAAATTAGTCTACATCCTAGCTCAAACAGCCTACACATATTTCATTTTCTTCTGAGAAAAAGAAAAATGTCAACAAGTTCTATTTAACAAGTGATATTGTACACCTATATTTATTAGAGGACATCTAATGATAAAATAATGAGTACTCACTCTTTTGTCTTCACTCTGATAATTTTTCTAATCATTTTCCAATTCAATGAAAGACTTTTAGGGTGATACAGGAGGAGGAGAGAGACATACAGAGAGAACAATTGTTTTTAAATATATAAATTATATATAGTGTGTTTAATGGAATGTCTCTTTAATAATATCAATAACATAAAATATAGAACTATGTTCCGGTTTTTATTCATTTGACAACATTAGTCAAATCATTTATTTGGACTTCTTCTATTCAACATAGAGCAATAGTTTATATTCTGTTTGTTCTCTCCCATTCTCTCTTTCTATGTACTGAAAATGAAATATTCGGAAAATATTGATGTTCATGCCTTTTCTCTGGTTATTATTTACTATTTTACAGGTAGTCATTACAGTTATCACTAAAATGAAAATTTTCTTTTTTATACTATAGTAGATAGAGAGAATAAAGAGAAGAAAAGTTTTCGTTTTCTATTCATATTTTGATGGAACTATACTATATATGCTGTTTCTGTTATTACTCGACCATCAATATAGGAGATTGTTAAGCAAACAGAAGTGACGTTTTTCATTTTTCCGTTCTTGTTCTCTCGGCAGAAGAAGTGTCAAACAAACGAAAAATTTACTTCTGCTTACTATTACTCATAGTGAGAGATATGGATGAATGTTTACAGAAAAGTAAATTCTATCAGAAGAAACAATCTATGTAATAAAACACGCTAAATAAAAAAAAATAAAAATAATAACAGTTTTAAAACACAAAGAGGTAAGATACTATCTAATAAATCATTTAATAAATCATGGAAAGAATATTATTAATAATACCGATAATTATCAGTTGTAATGGCCAACTAAGACTTACCATTTTAGTTTTGAGTAAAATTGAGACTGATGATGGAACGTTTACAGATTACAGATCCTTTTTTACTCTAATAAAACACAGTTTTTTATAGGCAGTTTGTACAAATTATTAGAACTAACAAACATGTTTACATAGAATAATAATAATATCTATGATTTCCATAATGAAGTATGTACAAGTTGAGAACTTTCAACTATTTTAATTAGTGCAAATTTTATAACTTTGTAATAACTTGGTTGTCAGTTCTGATAATTTGTTCACATATGTAACTTCATACTCTCAACAAACGTCCTCTCATGAGTACGACTTCATTGCCAGAAAACAGATTTGACACTTGAATCAGTAGGTCATTCTAAAAAGATATTTAAATGGTCAATTTATAGAGTCAACTACTAAATGTGTGCCATTTTAGAGTTCAGATCGTAGCGAATTATCGTCTAATTTGAATAAATTTTGTTTTTCAACCGTATTTTTGTTACAGAAACGGTCAAGCCTTGGAAACTTAAACTGCCTCTACTCCTCGAGGCTCTTTTCTGTAACTTTTCTCGCAAAACAGTTAAAAATATATACGTCAGACGTCAACGAAATAATTCAGTGACTGGATCTTCAGTGGCGGTCACCCATCTACTTACTAATCGCTTAATCAGAGAAAGACAAATTCATTGTCACAATTTCTCTCTGAGTTACACGAGTGTACTGCAGTGTAAAAAGAAAAGCGGTTGTAAAACAAAATTTATTTAGTTCAAACAAATCGAGTTTAAAATATTAAAATCATTGCCCAATTTGCGAAAATCCTTGGTCACTTTTTTCCACAGAATGATGTAATTGATTTTATCTGTTTTTATTTGTTTTGCAGCACTTTTGTCTCTAAAATTAGATACGATTTCTTTGAAAAAAGTTGTTTATCCACCTATCACATCATGTTGAAAGGATTAATATATTTTATTTAGAATACATCGAAGTTGTTAAAAATCAAAATGAACTGCCAATTTGGTAAAAATTAACGTTATCACATGACAATAGAAATGTCATCCATAGCCGTTTTATCATCAAATTCCTATTCAAGTTCCTTATCATCAAACCATCAATGTACAGACTGTCGAAAATCATTTTCAACTTCATCAGGTTTAAAACAGCACATGCATATACACAAAACAATAAAACCGTACACATGTGAGGTGAGGATATTTTGTTTAATTTTGTCTTTGTACTAACATAGATCACTCGTATAGTATTAGTATTAGAAAAAAAAAGCACGTTATAATAAATTTCAAGATAGTCTAATTGTATTGAAATCATGTTCTATTTTCAACAAAAAAATGTTTTTGTTTAAGATTTGTCAGAAGTGTTATACTCAATCGTCAAATTTATGTCGCCATAAACGCGTTCATAGTAGAGAAATTAAATGTAATATTTGTCAACATATATTTGCAAATGGTCAATTTTTTATGCGTCATAAAAAATTATGTATTGAAAAACACAATGTTCATCCTTCATCATCGAAAACAAATGAAAAATTACAAAAATATTCATCTTCAACTTCATCCTGTTCAATGAAAGCTATAACTACTGCTGCCACATATATGTATAATAATCTTGCTAAAAATTATAATAATGGAATTAATCTCACTATACTTCCAAAAGAGCATAGTCCATCATCAGTTAATATTTTAAGATTAAATGCCTTAACTTATTTACAAAAACAATTTTTACCATTATGGTTATTAAATCAATCACAAATAAAATTTGATACAATAATTGAAAAAAATGTAGACAATTTATTGTGTGAAGTTGTTGATAAAAATAATAATAATTGTGAACCACTTGATCTAAGTCTACCAAAAATTGAATCTGTTCATAGAGATTATTTAAATATAATCAAATCAAATGTAAAAGAAGAATCAATTGAACAAGATGATAGTGAAAATGATGGAGAATCTATGGAAGATGAGGAAGATTATTCTATAGAAAATTCAGATGATGATATTGAAGATGAACAAATAATTCAAAATGATAAAAATGAACGAGAACAACGTTGTTCTCGAAATACAAATGGATTAAATTGTTGTAATTTTTGTGGAAAACAATTTCCACGATCAGCAAATTTAACTCGTCATACACGTACACATACAGGCGAAAAACCATATCAATGTTTTCTATGTCGACGAGCATTTAGTATATCATCAAATCTTCAAGTATGTTTCAAATAATTCATTGAGCATCTATTTTCATTAAATTATACATACTACTCTATTATCTTACAATATTTTAATCTTTAAAAAAAATGTTAAGATATAAATCTGAAAATTTATTTGTATAAATTATTATTGAACATATTTTTTAGTTTCTTAATTACTCTTGAAAGAATAATGTGTATCTTTTCTTCTTTTTTTTTTCTTTTTCTTTTTTCTTTTCTTTTTCTAGAGACATATAAGAAGTATTCATCGTAAAGAACGTCCATATCAATGTATTGAATGTGGAAAAAAATTTGGCCAACAAACAAATCTTGACAGGTATATATGTGTTTGTATATTCGTATGAGAATATTCATTAATTCTATTTTATTGATTTAGACATATGAAGAAGCATACAATTTCTAATTGGCAAACGTTAGACGATACATTATTGTTATAATATTTAACATTATTTATAGTAAACATATGATATGAATTTATTATTTATCTTTATTAAAAATTATTAATAACTTTTCATAAGTGTGCTATTTAAAATCTCATTTTTATAGTAATTTTTATTTTGTATATATTTAATAAAATCTTTAACTTGTTTTTTTATTTATAAGATTAATTTAATTGTGAATTTTGAAAAATTAGAAAATATTTTGTTTGAAAATTTCTATTTCAAACAAACAATTATTCTTTTGTTTGATATTTTCCATAGTTAATTAATTCATTTTTAAACAAATTTTATTTATAATTTTTTTGTTTTTCAATATTTTTTAATTTTTTCCATCATTGTTTAATGCATTTTTTTGCAGTTAAATATTTTCATCGAATTTTTTTTTTTTTTTGTTGTTGTTTTAATATGTATTTGAAATTTAAATGAATCTCATACGAAAAAAAGTTTAATCATTATGACAAAATTTCAAATGTATTCGAAAATGTTGAAAATAAAACAAATGGTGCTAATTATTTATTGGATAAAATAATAAAAGTAGTCGAATGTTTAATATTAGAGACATGAGAAGACTTATCTTGAACGTTCAGTAAAGACACTAAGCATATGATAGCATTTAATTTTCATAAATAATGTTTTCATTGTAAAGTTTTCTCTATGGCACGACATTATCTTCGACATGAAACTATCTAAGTAAAAATATTTACTGAAAATCAATCATATTGACAAAACAAGATCTAATCATGCTATGTTATTTAATTATATTTTTAATTTTTATCTGTAGAAGATGAAAGAATTTTTTGTTTTAATTCTCACTATTATATAAGTATTCTTTTTTAAATTAACAGCAGGCATAGACTAAACTGAAATCTATTTTATTAAAAAACATCTGACGTTTCGACTCTTCATAGAGTCATTTTTAAAGAATATTACAGAACATTACTGTACTTTACGCATAAAATGTTGTGAAAATGAAGAAGAATTTTGTCTGTATATATTGTATGTTACTTGTAGACAGTCAGTCAGTAATTATATTATCAGTCCCTTTTATTTCACTTTTCATAACATTTCTCTATCCACCTGGATCAATATTCCTTTTGCTCTTTCTCTGAGAAAGGCCATCGGGAAACACAATCAAAGGTACAGAACTAACTGTACAATTTAAGTCAGGATTGAATGATGCTATTAACAAAGACTCTTTGACTAACAATCGATATTCAACTTTGTCCCTGTCCATTATACGCCAATTCTCCCAATCGATAGTGTGGGAGGTATCTTCAACATGT